GACTAAATCTGTACTATGCTAACCTAATAGATATACTCTGGGAGAATCTAGGGAGCGGCTACCTTAAGTCTCTTCTTCTTCCTACGTTCCTGCTCTGGACTATGTTGCTTCTTGTCTCCTCCCTGGAGTGCACTCCCTCCTTCCTGCGAATCTGGATGTCTACTGCATTCCATCACAGGTTCTGACCTAATGCTCCAAACACTAACACTATCCAAAAATGTTTTGCCCATATATTCCAAATTCCATCACAGGTTCTGACCTAATGCTCCAAACACTAACACTATCCAAAAATGTTTTGCCCATATATTCCAAACAACCACATGCCTTATTCTGTGTCAAGAGAACAGTGGGCAAGGAAGCCATGTCTCCAGACAAAAAGAGGATGCCTCTCATAGGCAGTCCCATTTCAGATAAACCGAGAGGAGATGGATCTCAATAACTAGAGGTTATTTCTCCCAGTTCCCAGGTATTGTTTGGCTGCTGGATTATTCTGGCACATAAGAAGAAAAACTTTTCCCTTTCAACCAGAGCCTTCAAGCTGTTCCTTCAACTACTTGGCTACCCATACTGAGCAAAATTAAACTCTGTAAGGTAGGCCTGGGATCCTGTTTCTCCTTCCTATCAGTTGTCATCCTAACTGACAAATAATTCATAATAGAAATCCACAACTTTTCAGAATCTGAGCATTGTTGTATGATTACTGTGGCCTGGTTCCTCCTCAAAAAAAAACAAAACAAAAAAAAAAGACTTGAAATGTCAGTGGATTTTGGCAGTTCACTTCAACATTAACAGTAAGAACAACATCTTGTCAGATATTGCATAAGAAGTTGGCACTTTCTCACAAGACAGCATGAACATTGGTAACTTTGTAAGAATTAGGTCATTTTTTTAAAAAAACAAGTAATTTTGAGGATTTTTGGGGGGAGGAGGGGATTAAAAATTCTAGTGCCCAGTGAAATAATGTTACTAGTTCTGGTTGTATGAAAAATCAGGTTAATTATGTTGGCACCTTATGAGAGCACCACCAAAGTTTTCTATGTCTAGGAATCCAAAGTGGCAGCATTTAGACATACCTTTACAAGGTGAACATCTTGTCTGCTGAGCTGATTCTGGGAGAGATACTCCCTGTTTACTATCCACGGGTGTCTTAAAACTTGGGCTGCTGTTAAGCGCTGATGAGGATCTACATGAAGCATTTTTGACACAATATCCTGCAAAAATTGAATTATAGAGAAGGTTACATTAATGTTGTTTGTTATTTTACTAAGAATAATAATCACTCTGGACAATTATGATTTCAGTTATGGATGAGAGGAATGGAAAATGGCATAAGAAGTCAGCCTGTAACAATGAGTCCTCCATCCCTTTAACGTAATGATATTCTACTGGTGTGGGGAGGAAAGAGAGAAGCAAACAGTTTCAGTGCCCCAAACACAAAATTTTCCTGTCAGAATGTTATATTAAAACTGTATCTATAAGGGGAAAAAAGCCTCAGTGCTGATTTCTAGGAAGATGGAGCTAAAGATTATTGATCTGGCTTGGGTTGAAACATTATTGATCAGACTTGGGTTGTGTTATGCCTACAAAAGAACTGTATTAACCTCTCAATGTATTTTCAGCTACTTTAATAATAAATAGGATCTAAGATAAGATAGAGAGCCAGTTTGGTCTAGTGGTTAAGGCACCAGGCTAGAAACCAGGAGACTGTGAGTTCTAGTCCCACTTTGAGCCCTTTCAGTGTTATTTATGTAGCTGGTTAAAATATTTCCATATCACCTATTATGCAAGGCATCTCCATGTGATTACAGAATTAAAAATGTATTTGGATACAATAAATTACAAGTAATAAAAGTACATGAAGTATCCCGAATAATAGTAGTACAATAAGAAAACACAATATAACAATGGCCCTGGCATTGTTTGGCAGCATCACCATGGACCCCCAAATATGAAGGTCAATAGGGATGTTTTTAGTTTAAATTGCAACAATGTCAGGAGAGGCATTATTTCAAGGGGGAGAGTGTTTCAAAGAATAAGCATTACAGTTGAATATTCTTTTTACTTACTTGATGGTGACATCCTATAGGGTGCAGTACATCCAGGGATTTGTGAGCAATACCATACAATACAATGCAATCATTTGTATTGCCAGCACAGTTGAGAATATATTTTTTATCCAAGGTTGTGGAACTCAATTTATTTGTGATATGTGTTGCATACGCCTGTGCCCATCCATTATTCTAATTTGAATTGAAATATATATAGATAGTCCTCATTTAGCAACTGCCTCAGACAGTGACAGTTCAGTTATGATGGTGATCAAAAAGTAACTTTGCGACCACTGCATTTATGATCTTCACAACTCTCTCTCAGTAACATGTTGGCCATTACAGTCAGGCAGTATGCATTGTCCTGTGCCTGACCCATTTTTTTTTTCTTTTTCCCCCCTCACAGAGTGGAGAGATTGCCTAGACAAGCTACAGTCTCTCTTCCTGAGCTGCTTTTCTCTGCCTGGAGTGCTTTCCTTAAAAGTGCTAACCACAAGTTAACAAGCTCAGCTTTGACCTTAATTAGTTGATTAGAACCCTCCAGCCTGCTGGCACAGCTGCCTGACACTGACAAGTCCCTAATCAATTTCACACTGAAGGCTTTTTTGGCTCCTAAGCCTTGATAGTGCATTCCTTTTGATGTGCCTGCTTACTCTCTTGTAATCCCTTCCTCTCAAATGATTGTAAATACAAAAATCAGTTTCCTTCTTGCTAATTATCCCAGCACAAGGGTGAGAATTCCAAAGGGTGAAAGAGTAGAGGAAAAGGGGTATAAGATTTGCCCTTTTACCCAGCTCCCTTGTCAGTCAAATTCCAGAAATCTTCCCTACCATTTGGGCTTACCCCGCTGATTGAAGTTGTATCCTTCTGATGCTATAAATCAAAGGAAAGCTGAAGTAAAATCATAAGCACAGTCAAGGTCACGTGAGTTTTTACTTAGTGGCCATTTCGCTTAACAACCAAGTTGCTTGTCCCAATTCCGGTCACTAAACAAGGACTATCTGTATTGCTAGCCATATTTTCTCTTTAAAAGTGTATTTTCAAATTATTAACATTTTTTTAAAAAGTCAGGAACTGTGTTAGAATACTCAGGATGTGTGGCAACTGGTGGATAATTAATTATAGGCAGCAATCCTTTATCCATTGATGTGAGAACAAGCCTCATTGAAATCACTGGAATTTATTTTGAATATATCTATATAGGACTTGTAAATTTTGATTTATATGTTTACTTGGGACATTTATACATTTAAACATTTACTTGGGACATGCAAATTGGGGGAGTTTGTGTCAAAATCTGCAAATATCAAATTCCTCAAACATCCAAAACACAGGATAATAAACTTCTTGTAGATTCACAACGGCGTCTGACCATTCATTGCTGAAAACAAAACACTTGAATCAGACTTTGACCTGATTCAGTGAGTTAGTGTTTACATTCTTATGACTCAGGAGAATGGGAGAAAAAAGAATAGATAGAACCAGCTAATTCTGCTTCTTTGCCTGTACTAACTCTGAACTGCATTGAAGTTTACATGCCCAGAAAGCTGTAAGATACTGAAATGAAGATAAACATTCAATGTATTCATTTAATTCTAATTTAAACAAAACTTGAGACACATGTTGCTGTCCTGCAATGTTGTGGTTGTTTCCAAGCTTTTCTGATAATGCTACAAAATATGGCACCTGTGCTACACATAGGATCAAGAAGGCATTTTAGATGTAATGCGTATACAATATTGTGGTTAATCCTTAATCATTTCAGTTAATTTTTCTAATTTTATGGAACAATCATAGAAAAGTTGCTTATCTGTAATAGTTGTTATTGAATTTTTAAAGAAATTGCTGTATTTATTGCTGCTCATTTTATGTGCTATGAACTGCAGTATATCAAAATAAATGGGAGGACAGTCATGAGCAACACAAGCAAAATAAATGGATCACAATCATAAGCAACATAAAATTATGATGCGGTATTTTACCTTTGCAGCATCAGATATGGAATCCCAGTTCCCTCCTGTGACAGCATATTTTCCACTGCCAATTCTAGCCAGAATTTCCTCTGGGGTATCGTCTGGCCCATTTGCAAAAGGGGTGAATCTGTTAAGCAACAAATACTATGTAAAACAGGTGTTTTGCACATTGTAGCATTATCACAGCATAATACTTCTGACTTGTATAAAAACAGCCTTTCTCAACACTCTGCTCTCTATGTGTGTAGAACTCCAGTTCCTAATCTCTCAACTGGCCAGCATCTTTGGAGTAGCACCCTTTGAAGGAAAAAACAGCAAGACATCTCTAGTCTTGTGGCTCTGCTGGAGAAAATCTAAAAGCATGCTTCTTTCTGGAATCCCTTTTAAAAATTATGGAAATTAATTTTGCAAGCCAAGTTCAGGCATTTTTCTCCTCTTTTTCATTTCAAATCAGGTTTTTAAATCTTCTATACTATCTACAAAAATAAGCATATTGTCTCCATAGGGTAAATCTATGCTGGATTTTAGCTTCTTTAAAACACTGTGATGTTCTAAGAAGCAGGATGAAATATATCTATAAGCCAAAACCTGAAGTCCTGAAAAAAGGTGGGCAGGGTTGGACACAGTTCCTATAGTATGACTTCTTTTCCTCTTGTGATATGAAAATGCTGAAGAGCCAATATTATACAACCTTCCACTATGGAGTACAATTTGATGATCATTGCTAACTAAACAAAATATAATTTTTTCTCTCATATACACATTTTCTTGCTTTAATTTTTCAAAACACTGACATTTCAAAATGTACATCAACTGGAATAAATGATTGCAAATAATATGCCTTAACTTGCCTATAATGAACTTGGCAATTTCAGTTATATGAATTTTCAGCACCCAACTAATTCAAATGGTATTCACTGTAAACTTCTAGATTGTGTTTCTGTCTTTATGTTGTTGTTTTTTAAATCACTGACTTCCAAGATTTACCAGACTAGAGATATTAAGAAATTTTTACACCTACCCTGCTAACATGGTATACAACAAAATCCCTAAGCTCCAGATGTCGCAGGCTGCATCGTAACCCTGCCGTTTCAGGACCTGCAGAAAAGAAATATACATATATTATATTCCACTACTTTGGGAGCTGCTGAAGACTTAACTGTTGCTTGTTTCACATTTAAGTGTGTATTCACTCATGCCAATAGGCTTCTGAGTCCAGTTCAAAGTGCTGGTTTTCTGTTCATGGCTTGGTTCCAGAAGACCTTAGGCATCATCTCCTCCAGGTAGAATCTGCATAGTCCATGTGAGGATGCAGAAAGAGGATGCTGGGGGTTTCATCCCTACAAGACTTCAGGGGAACATGGACTCCTTCTCTGAGATGGCCCCAGTGCTTAGGAACAATTTGCCACTGGAGTTTCACCTGGTACATTGACTATTAGCTTAATACAAGGTGGCAAAACTGATTTGTTTGAGTGGACATTTGGGGCTTAGGTAGTTATGGCTGATTGTGTGAGTAACCATATATATTAACTGTATTGTTTTTATATTCTCTTATATTTTATGTCAAATGCCAGAAGTCATATTGAGCTATGCAGGATGATGATGATGATGATGATGATGATGATGATGATGATGATGATTATGTAAGCAAACAAATAAAAGGAGCAAAGCCTATTTCACTGATTGCCATTCACCTACTAATGGATCAGTTTGTGCAGTATATTTCATTAAAGTATTCTGATATGCATTTTTGATAGGGGGGGGGGTTTCCTAAAACTGAAACTAAAAAAAATCCTCCCATTTTTATCTTACAACTATCATGTGGAGGAAGTACTATCACACTGAATATACCCTTGATTCTTAGTTTAGGATGTGTTTGGCAACTTCCCAGATTACTTTCTTATTCTGACCCAGTCAGCATGCATAGTTGCCCATCTTGCTATTCCATTCAGCGTAAATAACATAATGCGGAGTGCAGAAAAGAAGTAAGAAATAGTAAATCAAAGAAATTAAAGGTGTGAGATAAGGAAAAGAAAAGAAATAGCTAAATCTAGTTTACACCAACTATATATGTCTCTGTGTCTTCCTATTCTGATAAATCATTTGTGCCTCCACTACATCCACTGCCTTTTGTTCTTTAAATATCTCATTTATTTCTTTTTGAGAATCTCATCAATTCTGTCCAACCATAGCATTCTCAATCTTCCCTTTCCTCTTGACCTATTCACTCTTCCTTCACATTATTATTCTACAACTAGATCCTCATTCATTTTCTCTCTAATCAAACCACTTTCATTTTTGTATTCAATACACATTCATTCAGTGTCTATTCATGCCTGTTCTTATCACTTCTTTTACTACAAACACTTCTTAGTTAATCTATTCCTACTATATCCAATTTACTTTAATGCTTTTGACATACCAAAGTATCACCTCTATATAACTAATTGGGCAGAAGCATGTTCTTATGAACAGCCATTTTTGCTGCTTTCAACTTTTATTTACCAGACCACATACAATCACTAGCAGTCTACCAAATTTACATGTCTTAAAATTCTTCCATCCATTTTCCTGTCTTTAGCAAACATTCTGCCATAATGCACAAATTCATCTACTTGCTCCAGTTTTTCATCATTTATACATACAGTAACTTGCAGTCACTCATTCCATTTTCTATGTCAGATACAACGTTCTTCGTCTTTGATACACAAATCTTCAGTGTATCCTGTATTCCTCACTGCATCATGCAATCTAAATTTGGCTGCAAATCATTTAGGTTCTCAACAAACAGCATGAAATCTTCTGCAGACAAAAGTGCATCTTCATTCACATCCCCAACCAACACACTTCTAATATCGCACACACATTTTATAATTATTAATCCTTAAATGCATTAAGATGAGGGGAAATCACAATCCTTGTCCTCTACTCAGGGTTAAGCCCTCTGCTAAGCATTTCATTCATCCATACAGTAGTTTATTTCCGTCATATATCACATTCAGCAACCAACCTTCAACTCCATTATTGTGTAAAACATTCTGTAATTCAAATCCATTCAGTAGATCATACCTTTTCTCAAATCAAAAACTGCAATATACTTTTACATTTACACATTTCTCAGAGATTGTCTGAAGAAGAAAAGTCTGGTCTGCACATTCCCTGCCTGGCATAAAATTGCACTGCACTTCTTGGATTTTGCTCCCTGTTGCCTCTTTTACCCTTTTGATCAGAAATCCATTTACACTTTTGGAAGTGCTAAAGTTATGCAAAATCCCACATGTTACTCCTTAGAATTAGCATGTGGGGTAGGAATACCCAATTATATTTTAGAAATGATGAAAACAATCACAAGATCTGGGCTTTTATGCAGATTAATATGAATTTCCCTATGTTAATTTTAATCTAGTATCTTCCAGAGTTATCTAATGAGATTTTATAAATAAAATGTAGCTGCATGTTTGATTAATATAAACACACAAAACTTTCTCTAGGGCTGGAATGAGAGGTTAGCTCCCTCTAGGAAAAGTTAATTTCATCTGATTTTTTAAAAAAAATATGAATTTACCACATTTTCACTTTCCCTCAAATTTTAGGAGGCCCAGAATTAGATGAAGGGGACAAAAATGCTTATGCTTGGGAAGTATTGCTTGGAAAGTATATTTAATTTCATTTAATTTCATTTCATTAATTTAAATATAATTTAATTTAATTTTTTCAATTCATATGGCTGCCCATCTCAAACAAGTGACTTTGGGCAGCTAACAGCAATTTAAAAAGAATCAACCAAAAATACAAAATAAATAGACAATTGGCGGCAGAGATAAAAACAACAGCAGCAGCAACAAAAACCAACATCAATATAAATACAATACAAGCATTTAAATAAAATTAATTCATAGGCTCCAATCAAGCCCCAAGCCCAGGAACACAGCCATGTCTTGTGAAAGACTAACAGGGTCACAGACAATCTGATCTCCAAGGGAATGTTGTTCTACAAGGCAGGTGCTGTGATAGGAAAAGCTTTCTTCCAGGATCCCGCCAGGTGGCACTCTTTCATGGATGCAACCCATAACATGCTATTCTGTCAGATCTGATGGAACAGGTAGACATGATCAGGGAGAGGCAGTCCCACAAATAACCTGGCCGTATGCCATGGACAGCTTTATAGGTAACCATCAGCACCTTGAATTGAACCCAGAAGCATATTTGTAACCAATGCAGCTCATGGAGCAGAGATATAACATGTGCAGTTCAAAAAGCACCCATAACTGTGCTGCTGCATTTTGTACCAATGTAGCTTCTGGATGTCCTTCAAGGGCAGCCCCATGTAGACCACTTTGCAATAGTCCATCTTGGAGATGACTAAAGCATGAGTGGCTGTGAGCATAGCCTCCCAGTCCAGGAAAGGGTGCAACAGGCTCACAACATGAAGCTGTGCAAAAGTTATTCTTGTCACAGCTTGCCATAAGACAAGGAAGACCCCCAAATTGCTCACTGGTTCTGTTTTGTGCAGAGTAACCCCATCTAGAACAAGAGATGGAGAATCCCTGGAACCAGGGGTCCTAGAACCCAAGATACTCTTACTTAGGTTGAGTTGAAGCCTGTTCTGCCCCATCCAAACCCCCAAAGCCTCCATTTACCAAGACAGAATCTCTACAGCATCACTTGGACAGCTTAGGGTGGTGATATAAAGCTGGGTATTACTGACATGGCCCATGCCGTCGGATGACCTCTCCTGACGGCTTCATGCTTATATGAAACAGGAGAAGGGAAAATGTTAAACCCTGCAGCAAAGCAAGGGCAGTGGGCAAGACCTCTCCCTCCCATCAACACTGACTGGAACAGTCCTCAAAGGAAGGCAGTGAACCAGCACAACACAGGGCTGCTCACTCCCAACCTCTGAAGCCGGTCCAGAAGGATATCAGGATTGATAGTACTGAAAGCAGCTGAGAGATCAAGGAGAGTGAGAATGGATGCACCAGCCCATCCCACCAGAGGTCATCTACAAGTACGATCAATGCCACGTCTGAAACCTGACTAGAAGGTTCCAGATAATCCACCTCATCCAGCATTCTTTGGAAGTGCTGCAGAACCACCTTCTCAACCACCTCCCCAAAAAACAGAAGGTTGGAGATTGGATGAGAATTGTCTAGTGCAGTTGGGTCATGCAATGGCCTCATGAGGATAGTATATACTAAAAAAGTACTCATAAAATGCACTTATTAGGAGAATGGAAGCAAATGTTTGTGCAAACTTTCACAAAACTCAGAAATTAAGTAAGAGTCAAAGACTAGTTCTGACAATTTGAAAGTGAAGTAAGTGATATCTGTCATCAGCATGGTGATTTCCAATGCCCCTGAAGAGAACAAATGAATTTCACCTAGACTTCAGCAACAATTGGAACAAATAAAAGCTATTACATTATTAAATTTACACACTGACAATGATCAGAGCCTTTGGAATGTGAGGCTGGTTTTCCTGCCAAAATGCTTCCACTAGATGGCAGGTCAGTTCTTCCTCTAGATGTCTTTAACCATTCATAATATTTCATGCTATCATTGCTATTAAATATATAACTGGTATAACTGCCATCCAATATAAATTAGGGTTCAAAATAAAATTTAAAAAAGGATGATATGGAAACAAGCATGCAATTTCAGCTGCCTTTTTAATAACCTGTATAATTGAGAAAGTATTATTATGGCAATAATATAATATGGACGTTTGGGCTGAGAAAAAATGGAGCTGAAGTGAAACAGCATTAAGAAGAATTTCTAAAAGCAGCAAATGAGGTCCTGCAAAGTTTATGTTTTCAAAGGAAAAGAGAAAGGAAGTGTTTACCTGACAACTGCCTTCTCCCCTGAAATTTCATTCAGTTGGTTAATCTATGAACATTTACATTGGATTACAAGGATATGTTTACTAGGTACAAATGGAGTATCACCTATCAGCTCCATGACACTGAACATATCTCTCCAGCTATCATCCTCTAATTCAAACATAAAAGCATGAAGGTAAAATGGCCATGAAGAATGGTATGGACTATAACACCAAAATCCACAAAGAGGCGCACTGAAGGTCAACAAGGAAATGATCACCTCTGGGTGAAAATACAGGTAGTCCTCGGGTTAAGACTGCCTGGGTTACAGATGACCCATAGTTAAGAATGGAGCCTACTGTAGCAGAATTTGAGTTAAATACACAATGATTTAAGTTAAATACACAATGGTTCAAGTTAATTACACAATACTACTTATACAGCATTATACAATAATACTGTTCCACTTACATACAAATTTGACTTCAGAAAAGACCTTGGGAACAGAACTCATTCTTAAATTGGGGACTACCTGTAATCCACCTGGAATATTAATGTCTTTACCACTCTAAATAAATTCTGAAGTCAATCAGAAAAAGATTAATAATAAAAATATAATTGAAGAACATCTGGAGCTGCTCTGCTAATACCTGTTCAACAATATTCTGAAAATGAACAGGTTAGATGCAGACCTGGTCCTGAAAAGGGATCTGAGCTTTGATACAGTAATTTGCATGAGACTGGTCTCCAATTCTTTAGTGAGAAATTGTTGTTTCTATCCTCAACCACTATTTTGAAACTATGGTAGAATGAAATGAGATTGAACAAAGTAAAACTAATCTAGACATACAGTATGAGGGATTAAGGTGATGGATCTCCCTTTGTGTTGTGTTTTTAATGTTTTTTCTTTGTAGGGATTATAGCATTTTCCAAATACTGGAATAATGTGATAAAAAAGTAAAAATCTCCTTCAGCTTGAACTTGACTCTGTGTGATTTCCTGGACCTGTCCATTAAGTTATCTTGCCACAGGATAGAAGTGTTTGTTATTGTCTTATTCTGTGATGTTTTTTCAACTTCCCAATCTAGAGTACAGCCCTTATATTTCTTGCTTGTTTCCCATCGAAGTACTAGCCAAGCCTTATCCTGCTTACCTTCTGATCTCAGAGAAGGCTGGCCAAGTGTTGCCACCTGTCTTCAAATCTAATGCTCTTGAAATCACTCTCCAGAAAGTGACTATATGAATATCATGGGCAACTCCTGGATATTGCCCATAATGCAAATAGTGACAATCATGTGGACTTCTTAAATCTCCATACCTCAGGTGCTACAAAATTGGCTGTGTAACATGGTGTCATTAGTAAACCATTCTCAGCTCTCAGTTGTTTGGCAAATCCAAAATCACACATTCTGATAGAGTCTGGGTTCCCTGATTCGTCCATGTACAAAATGTTACTAGGTTTCAGATCTCGATGAACAACCTGAAAATAAAGTTGAAATAATTATCTAAACCCAAATTGTTATAATGGTAAATGGTTTTGTTCCCAACTGCCATTCTTTGAAAATTATCAGTTACTTCCAGAAGTGTCTTCTGGACATTTAGTTCCATGCCTTGATAAACGCTGACATTACCACATAGTAACAGAAAAGAGGGTACGTGTTAGCAATAAACCAGAGGAACTAAATGAATCTTACATTTAACTTTAGCCTTCTGAAATATTAATCATTTCCAGTAAATTATATGCAGCAAATCTGATTGGGAGCAGTTCATAATTGGAAAGCCATAATTTGCCGGTAATTTGGCTCATTCTGCAGCTAGAAAGGTAATAACAATTAAATCTTCTGTTTGAAAGTTGCAGTGCAAGCATTTGATCTTTATTATAAGAGCCCAGAAAGACTGCCGTTCTATGTCATAATCTTTCATTTTTCAATTGTAAATGAATCATCTGCAAGTTTAATTGTGGATTTTGTGTGTGTGTATGTGTGGGGGAGATGATAGTACCTTCCATGATTTAATATTTTAAGGACACAATAACATTTTTAGAAAGCTGGTTGGATATAGAAGACCTGATATACTCACACCCTGGGAATGCAGATAGTCCACAGTCTTGCTAATGGTACAGAGAACGGCACTAGCCTCTCGTTCTGAAAAGCATTTCTGTCGAAGTATTCTATCTAAGAGTTCTCCTCCTCGCATCAGTTCCATCACAAGGTATACAAATTTTCCATCGTCATAGACCTGTACATGCAGAAAAGCCATCAAGTATTTGATCCATAAACCTTAAATGCACTAAAATCTCATATTATTGTTTCCTTGTTATTGTTAAATGAGTAGATCAAATATATGAATTCTGGAATGACCATATTTCTTCAATAAAATATTCAGTAAATCAAATGCCCATAGTTCTTAATACAGGTGGCTACATAAACTGAAGTTACTTGCATTTTTATTAACATTAAACAAATCATTCTAGAAGGAAAACTGAAAGATGTGGGTTACAGAAATGAATATAAAATAAATTCCAGAACAAATATTATTTTTGTGAATGGTTTGCTGTACTCTTGACCTTAATGTAATCAGGGATAAGCAAACTGGTTTTTTTCAGATGTTTGAACAACTCCCTCAATCCTTACCATTGGCCATACTGTTTTGGGATGATGGCATTTAAAGTCCAAATCACTAGATGGCACTAACATGCCTGCCCTGGTTTAATTAAAATATTTCCTGATGGCATACACTTCTTGGCTGTAAGGTAATAAGCTAAACATGCACACATGAGTTGAAGCAGATGAGCCTGGCCATGTACACGCCAACCTATCTCCCTGGTCCTGTTTTTTAAATAATCAAACAAGGATCAGAATATTACTTGTTGCTATTGACACATGAATACAGCAAAGTCAAACAGAATCATGTATTGCAGGGCAGCCTTGAAAATGTGATGCTATCTATAGAAAAGGTGAACTTGGTATTACTGTCATTTATCTATATATCTTCTCATTTTATTGTACAAAGGTTGAATAAAAAGAATGCTTCCTTCTCCATAACTTTGAAGTAGGGATAGTTTAATAAATGAAACAAGAAAATAATCCTTGAAATGAGCTCTTTTGTTACCTGTATTTACTTCTCCACATAATCACCACTGTTCATGACACACCTCTGCCAATGATGGACAAGTCTTGAAAGAACTCCACACTTTGTCCCTTCAGCCAGGTCCTGATGGTCCTTTCCACATTCTCATTTGATTAAAACAGATGTCCATGTAGGTATTGCTTCAATTAGGGGAAAAGGTGGAAGTCCCATGGCGCTAAGTCTGGACTATATAGTGTATGGGGTAATACAGTGAGGCCTAACTTCACAGTTGCCCCTTAGGTGGTTCATGAAGTGTAAGGTCTAATATTGTCATGTTGCAGTAAAATCTCTTTCTTGCACTTCTGAACTCTGCTTAATCATTGTTTCAAAGTTTTGAGTGTTGTGGTATAGTAGTGCTCTGTTTTGATAGTGGTACCAAGTTCAAGGAAATTCTTCTGAATAACACCATTTGTATCCCCAAAAACCATAACCATGAGTTTTCCTGCCAAAGCCTGGTTTTTTATTTTTTTCCCCCACAGGTGAAGCTTTGTGGTGATATTTCATGGACTGATGCTTCATTTCTTGGTCATAATGATGAGCTCATGTTTCATTAGCTATCACTTTTATTCTCATAGCATGACAATTGCTGGCAAAGTTCAAGCCTTGAAGCTTTCATCTCTGCTGTCGGCATGTGAAGAAACCATTTTACACAAACCTTTTGTTACTGAAGAACGTAATTAATGTGATCCACACATTCCTGTGATATGCCAAGCTTGACAGCAATTTCCCTTTGAGTGATCCAACTGTCAGTCCGTCAACTTTTCTCAGGTGAAACTCATTGGTTGGTATCACAGGTCAAACACTTCGCTTTTGATCATATAAATCAGCACTTTTGGTTCACCATTTTTACATTTTTTGGCCCAGCAACACAGTACTCATATCATCTCAGTCATCACCATAAACAACCTGCATTCGATGGTGAATCTCAGTTGGAGGTTGGCAATCAGAAATTCAATCACAGTGTGTTGCTTAAAGCACACTGATGAGTACTCACTGCAAATTTCCATTTGACAAACAATAGCAATACAATCTTTTCTCACAGTAACTTCCCACCAACTGAAGTAAATGAATAGATGCTAAAGAATACGTCAGAGCTTCTAGTGTGTCAGTAGTGCCATCTGTTGTAGGTGATTTATAACATTGGAAGTATTACTTTTCATTCAACTCTCATACCTCCCAGAATAATTGAAAAGAGGATTGGAGGAGGTTTATTACACCATTTTTCTTTGCATTATTTGTGTGGAAAAAAAAGTCTTTTTAAAAAAAGCATGGAGCTCCCTAAAAGAATGGTGATTTCCTTTTTTTTTTTTTGTGCAAGATTTGCTTATAAATTGTTATTAGAGTGATGCTCACCATTTTGTAACCTTTGTGTAAGGGCACTACACATAAACATAAAACTCCTGCCTACATAAGAAAATATATCAACAAGGGCTTTCTAATTACTTAATTTTTTACATTCTGATCCCACTTCAGGATTCAGTATAATTGTAATTAAACAAATAAAAATGTTCTTGCAAATTTATTAATACACCCTTCTAAACCCAATAATACAGCACGGGTTTCCACAAAGTTGTTGGAATGGGCATCGCATAGATTTGCCTAAACAACTTTTCTTATAGATCAGCTTACTCACAAGGAGAGATGTACAAGAAATGTGTGACCTGAACATTTACTCACATCTTTGAGTGTGATGATGTTTGGGTGTTGTCCATATCTAAGAAGAATCTCAATTTCCTCTGAAGGGTCTCTTTTGCTCTTATCAATTATCTAAAGGAGAAATGGAAAACAGAGCAAATTCGAGAAGAGAGGAAGTCTCATCTGTGCATTTGAAAGAAAAGCTGTGCATAGATATGTTATGCTATAACTAAGTAGCAATCTATATTAATGAAGAGGTTATGGGAAAGAGTTAAGCAATAGCAACCAGAGGGAGAAAAAGAAATCATTTCCTGATTCTAACAATAAAGAGAAGCCAATGGAATCATAACAACAAAAGGGTAGTTTTATATTGTCACTGCTGAAGCCAGAGGTGGACACACCTGAGCTCACAGAGACATTGAAAGCCTTGAGTGCAGCCCTAAGACATCCTCCCAAAATTGTAATTTGTAATGTGACAAAAAGGGGAAATTATCAAATGCAAGATTCAAGAGTACGTTCATTCTATTTCATAAATTAAATTACAGTGTAAATGAAATTAAAATAAAATCAGTTTTGTTCTGCCCACATTACTTTTGTCCTGGAACCCAATCCAAGTCCCACCAAATAACTTTTAAGAGAAGAGACCTGGACCTATCTAGCTTGGTGAGATGGGCAGATACCCTCAGGAAGAGGCAGGACCAAAAATAACCTGGCCCAAGGGCTTTAAAGGTAATAACCAACACTTGGATTTTTTTAAAAAAATTCATCCCGTCTTTATTATTTTTATAAATATCTCAAGGCAGCGAACATACCTAATACTCCTTACTCCTATTTTCCCCACAACAACCCTGTGAGGTGAGTTGGGCTGAGAGAGAGTGACTGACCCAAAGTCACTCAGCTGGCTTTCATGCCTAAAGCGGGATTAGAACTCACTGTCTCCTGGTTTCTAGCCTGGCGCCTTAACCACTAGACTAAACTGGCTCTCTATTTTGCACCCAGAAGGAAACTGGAAACTAGTGCAGCTTACACAACAGTGGTGTAATACAGGCAAATTGCAGGGTGTCTAGAACTGCATGCACTACAGCATTCTGGACTAGTTACAACTTCTGGATGGTCTTCAAGGGCAGCCCCATGTACAGTGCATTGCAGTAATCCAACTGGGAGGTGACCAGGATATCAGTGACTATAAGCAAGACCTCCTGGTCCAAGAATGGGCACAATTGGTGCACAAGATGTATTTGTGCAAAGCCTCCCTAGCCATGGCTGCCACCTACTCCTTGAGCAGGACCCCTGAGTCCAGGAGAACCTCCAAATTGCATACTGTGTCCAGAGAAGTGCTGTTTTACTATAGTTTGTATGTGTTTCTTGCCTTGGTGGAGTAGGCAATATTTGTATCTGAACTGGGAAGGCTGCTTTGAATCAGGCATGGATGGGCTTGCTATACTGGTCCGTGGTACCTTAAAGAATATGCAGTTTCAGACTCAAATACTGTACACCAAAAGGCTTGCTGAGAGCCATGAAAAAAAAAGAGGTAGGGGTCATCTGTTGCCCTCTGCTTTAGGATACAGTAGCTTGTAAGTAGAATTTCACTAGTTGTGCATTTCCAAACTCTCCTCTCTATTGTACTTTCCTCTGTTAGACCAGTGGGCTTGGTGATTTGGCTGCAGCTGGAAGAAGAACTAGCAGAATTTATAGTAGGGAAGAACATAATATGAGTTATGGGTATGTGTGTGTGTGTCAAAATCTGCAAGATGGTGGGTGCGATTGAAGTATGATTCTTTTGTCATACACGCACCTATAAAAGGGACATGGGCTTCAACTATGATGCCACACCAGCCATCTTGCAGATTTTGAAATGTGGATGCCTTTTATTTTGGGTCCAAGTCAGTGTTGGCAGATGTATGTTTGACATACAGTAGCAGATCTCTGACCACTATGACACAATTTGCTGTCTATAGCAAAATGCATTCATGGCAGGACAAAATAATATATAATTTTCATGAATTATTCCACCTTCACACTGCTGTCCAAAAGAGACCAACTTCATTTGCAACAATAGGATAAAGACAATTCACCAGGGAGAAGGAAAAATGTTATCAGGTGTGTATGCTAGGTATTTTTATTCAACAGTTTAAGATGCATGGGCATTAATTAATTCATCTCCAAGTTTTTTCCAGTACCAAGGAAAAATAGTTGGAACTCTTTGCTAATAGGAACATAGTTTTGGTGTCTCTCCTCCCATCAAAATGTCACATTAACAAGTATCTAACACAATTGCCTCTGAGGTCTCAGGAGGGCTGTGCATGCATTGAAAATGATTAAAAAATTATTTGGACTCTATACCAGCACAACATCTTTCTGCTATTCAGTAAAGTAGCCTGAGTTTTTAGGGGTCTGTACAAGCCTGAAAAACAGCGCGGCTGCTTAAGAGTTGCATCAACTTTTGTGAAACTCCTTAAAGCAGCAACACTTTTTCTCAGATTTCACTCATGTAGAAGATGGGTTGCTTTAATAATTAGCAGAGAGATGCTGTGCTTGGGCTCGCTTGAGTCTGAAGCACTTCTTTCACATTATTTTTGAAGCGTGTCCAACACTAATAGTTAGCATTATTTTAGGAGAATATATAATTACTTTTTTATGATGTCTTGAAGGAGAGGGATTACTAACTGCAGTAATATAACTTGAAGTTATGCTTGATTAACTTTGGTGATTAATTCACTGGGTGGTAACATATTTCATAAAATTAGACTGATTATTTTAGAGAAAAAGAAGAAATAAACTTAACTAGTAATATTTTAAGCAGCATGGCCTGCATTACAAAGTATATGCTTGATTCCTTCTACCATTAATTGACAGCATTCATATAATTAACCTTCAGCTGAATCACCATTAGCAGTCTAAGCATGTGTATGCTGATCATTAATTGAAACATTTTCCATTGGGTTGAACAAAACTAGGATTGTTTTGCAAGCCCTTCTATGTGTAGATACTATATGATGTCTTTTTTGTTCTATAATCTTTTAAAATATCACCCGAAGGGGTTCAGAGTTTCCACAGTCAAAGGCTTACAAGCAGAAAACAGTTTGGTAGTCATGAGACTAATATTTTAAAGTATTTATTTGATTTATATGGCCACCCATCTCACTAAGTGACTCTGGGCAGTTTACAACAGTTAAAAAAAACCAATCCAATAAAAGAAATAAAAACCAATATAGAATATATAAAACATCAGAACTGATAAGAATAACATTTGCACTTCCCAAATTAATATAGCAATCTAGTATGCAACTATTCTTCAAGACATTATACTTCTTCAGTTCTATGATGAACCTTTTCAAGAGGAAAAAAATGTTATACAAAAATGAATGAGGAAAGTTCTATGCAAAAAAAAAAATGCATTTATCAGGAGAAAATGCTTGTAAGAAGATGCATTCAAATGTTCCTTTATACAAAAATGTAGACAAAAATCTACAGAGGAAATTTTTAAAAATTGTGCATTATCAACATGTTTACAATACACACACACACACACAGAGAACACAACAGTTATAACTTGAAATAATTTCCCCTTATCTATTAAACATATAATGTTTCCCTGTGTAAGAAAGAATTGTATTGTGATTCTTCACTGGTAGCAGCAGAAACATTCTTGGAATATGTTCAAGGACATTCTTGTTGTTATTTATTCAAATATTCCATGAGCAGGCTTAGGAAATGTGAGCTTTTGGTTCAGTATGAAACTTGCCAGTTCAAACTGGTTGTTTTATCCCATGACAAAATAATAAATTTAAATAATGGTAGTATGTTAGCCTTAAGGCAAAAAAAAAAAAAAAAGTTTGCTAGGACAGTAGTGTAGATCGTAGTGAAAATATGGGGGAAAGGTGGGATGGGAAAGGATGCCAATTTATTCTGAGGGTCATTTCATATATTAAAGGCAAGCCTCTTTTCCCCAGTTCCTAGAAGGATTCTAGTTACATGAATGATGGAAAGCATCAGCCAGGATTTGTTAAGTTCTCGGCATTTGCTGTATTCCATCTGTTACACTGTTCAAAGAAGTGTGCTTCCAGCATGTACTAGCAAAAGAAGAAATCAGCAGCCAGTTGTAACATGAGAATTTGTCCTCCTGTTTGTCCATATGACTATGTCTATACTAAGCCTTCCCCAATCTGGTGCTGTATTAGCCCCTTCAGCATTTACACACAATTATACAGACATTTCATCTCATTTGTATCCATTCATTCCTTACACAAGTGATTTTCTCCCCATCTAGCACAGAATGTATGCTCAAGAAGCCTAATTCCCATAAGTGGATTTCAGGTGGCACAATATATTTTGGAAGGTTAATCTTTTATTTCCCAACAATCAGCCCATCCTCCCAAATTACCCCACAAGTCAAATTAGGCTTGAAAAAGGCTTCCTATTCACGATAATGGGAAGCATTTTGATCAAAGGTGCTGGTGGCAGGATTCAGAAAAGTAACTGAGGACCAATTGGGAAGACCTTGCAGGTTGAAAGTAACCTGTTCTTGTGCCCTTTGGTAATCAAATAATTACTCCAAGGATAGGTAACTTCTCCAGGTCCATTCCTATTTTATTTTATTAATTACTTGCAGACAGTATTTTTGCAGGTATATGGGAGGGCACTTTCTCACAAGCACATTTATCACTCTTCTAACACTCCCCAAACCTTCAGAAACAGTCTTGCAACAGCCCACTATTAATTTTACTGCAAGAATTTAGGACGAGATCACCACACCAAACCTACGCTTTTCCCAGCTGACGAATAAGGAAAAATCAAGTGTGGCCAACCAGTGCTCTGCCCCCCTCCCTCTTCTTACCCTATGACTTTTAAACAATGGAAAAGTAAAATAAAAAATGCAGATCACTAGCTGCAAGGCTACCTCAAAGCTCAGTGCAAGGACACTGGTATGCAACAGTGGCTTAAGCAGCAAAGGAGCCAGAAAGCAAGGGCATCAGGAGTTCTCACACATGGGAAATCAGCCAGCCCCCAGGCTGCATGGAACTCTAATGCCACAGAGAAGAAGACAAAAGATTGCGATTTGAACTGGGCTACAGCCGAGCTAGAAGAAAATCAGCTTAGCTGTCCAAAGGCCATAATGGCATGGGGATACAGGGGCATTTCACTGACTTGAAAGCAACTCAACAAACCCATGAAGAAGTGCCCTTGGTCATGTTACACAAAAACTAGGGATGTTTATCATAGGGACAGCAAAACAGCAGAGACAAATCCTTTATCTCCTGTCAGCTTTACAAATTTTATACTCCTTTCCTTGCTTTTAGTACTGAGTTTTTCTTTACTTGCTTAATGGAAAAGGCAGTAGATTCTGCAATGTAGTATTTTGTATTTTGCTTTAAAAAAAAAGACTCAAGACATCCACTGCTTCTACGGTAAACATCAGTATGGCCGGCTTCCTTTAGAGAAGCAGCACAAGTAAACAAATATTTAGGAAAGGAATATTTACAGCTGCACATGTGCAGAGTCACAAAACCATCAGAATTGTTTTCAACATCTCTCTCTAGAACTTTCAACAGAGCTTTAAAGCACAGGGTTTGAGAGCCAACTGTTTTTTTAGATCTTCAAATCAAATATCATTTCATGAACCTTTAAATTAGATATATTGATGTTCTTCATAATTAAATATGAATGTCCATTATTGTATAATCTAATTCAAATCAAGATGAGAGGTGGATCATAGAATAAAGCCAAAGTTGGATTATATTCACTGATACCTGTTAGAATACCCTAAGGATCTGAGTTATTTAAAATGATCTGATCTCTCCTACAGTTTTTCATGCTTGCAGAACTATAGGGGGAAATGAAATGGCAACTTTTTTTGCCATTTGAACAGAAGCTAATTAAAAAAGAAAACCAAGATAAATTTGATGGATATCCTGACATTAGATCCAAAGAACTATGTGGCTATGACCATGGCTTTGTCCTCTTCTAATACTGTACTTTACAGCAGAATTAACATGAAATGCAGGGGACTTTCAAAAACATGACATAATATGACATATAAATTGTGGTGGCTAAATAGAAAGGAGGAAACATCTACTGGGCATGCTGAAGCTATGAAAATAATCGGAAGAACATCTCTGAAAGCCATGAGTGCTCCATTCACATATAAATTTCCCTCATAGGCTGACTTACATTTTACATTTCTCAGATTAATAATTCTGAAATGTATCACACAAAAAAAAATCACATAAGAAAGGAAATCTAACTAATGAAAATTAGTGGTGGATTTCAAAAATGTATTTCAAAAGAAATTCTTGACGCTTGATGTTTTCTAACTCTTCATCAATAACAGTCTAGTCAAAAGAATAGAAGTTGTTACTGAAATCACTGCTGATTAAAGCTGATTAAAGCTGGACAACCCAAGGTTTGGTGACTAATTTCAAAAGACTCCTGTAAGATCTCTGTTTAGACCGCTGATGAAACTATCTATGCCTTCCCTGGAGCCAGTCATTTCAGAAACAGAGAAAGGATATGAAAAAGAAAAATAGGGTTTCAGAAAAAAATGGAACTCCCAACCTACTTTTGACATTAGCCTCACCAGCTGCTTGATTTAGCTGTGCCTACCGTGTGGCCCGAAACTGATTATTCTTAGCTAGTTTCTGATCCCAGGATCCTTGTAGGCAAAGGGTTGGATGTCTGTGACTAGGCACACATGGATGAGGGGGTCTTGGCCTCACTGCTGGACTCATTCCCCATGTAATTCGCGGAGGGTTCTGCCACCCTAAGAATACTGCCTCCCATTTTTTATAAATAAATATCTTCATCATTCTTTCATCCCGGATCATCTTCTTGCATACCTCTTGTCAAACCCCTGTAGCTAGCAAATTTAAGAAGCCAAAACCACATGGATTACAGAAGGCACCTTTAATGCTAGTCGTGGTACAAATATAATCTGTAAGCTTCTTTGCCACAGCACCCTGACTTTTGGGGGCTGCACTGCCTCTTTTCCTAGTCAAGAAACTCACCTTCATAATGTTTGGTTCCCACAGCCTCTTGCACCTCTGCATCAAGCCAGCAAAACCTGTACTACCTGCCCTTGCCAGATGATCTCCAGGCACACCACAATGATTTCTTACCTTTACTGCAAACTCTGCTTCTGTGGCTTTGTGAATACACCTCTTGCAAACAGAATATGAGCCAATGCCAATGTCTTCCCGGATTTCATATCCATCTGTAAAGTGAATATTGTTCCCATGTAACTGCTACAGAGGGAAACAAAACAATAGCAATAAAAGGACAAGTCTTATGGCAGACTCCATCAGAAGACACTGTAGCTCTGACAATTCAGAGACAGTTGTTGATCACACACAACCAGCTAATTAAACAAGTGCTGCCTTAATCCTCTCCAATTAATCTTACAGTCCCTAGCATGCTTGACTTTCTTATAAGTAAACTTGAATAAGATTGGACTATGAGTAAAACTACAGCATTATTAATATAAAAATACAGGACAGTTAATTCAAAAATAAACACCCCATTAAAGTTAATCCTCCTTTAAGATGAGTTCAATTGCTGATAATTTCATGGAAATGTCCCTGTAGTTTTCTTGGCAACAGTATGAAAGTGATTTGCCATTGATTTATGGGATGTTTTTTCAACTTCCACTCTAGCCAATGGCCCAGATACTTCCTGATGATCTCCAGGTACTAATCAGGTCCAACCTTGCTTAGCTGTTTCAGATCGGCCAAGGTTGGATAGATGCTGCCACGTAGCTGGCCTCAGTGCACATTATGGAGAAAGCAAATGTGTGCTAAGATTTTTTTTAAGGAAAGGAGTTAAATACAAAAGATTGTAATTTTTCTTTCCCAGGGCATATTTGGATAAAAGTATCTCCTTATCATAGAGTAGCATTTATACATTGACTGGCAATGGCTCTTCAGGCTTTCCTGCCTGGGGCTTCCTCAGCAAACCCTGGAAATGTCAGGAATGATGATGATGATGATGACAACAATCATGGAGATCTTGATTTGTATCTTGCCTTTCTACCCAGATGGCATTCAGAGAAGCTCATCTGGGAACTTCTGCATGCAAAGGGTGTCCTCTACCGCTGAAATGTGAACCTCCTTCTCATATTAGCTTTCGTTGCTGACTCAGTTTTTAGTTGTTGACCTTTGTTGTATTTCACAAGCTAGGACTGGAGAGGAAGGGCACAATAAGTTATTGCTGATACCACACAAAAAAGGTGGTGAAAACAATAATTTATTTAGGGTATTGTGTCATTTTGCAAAAAAAATGGTTGATACAGGAACTAAGGACCTTTCCATGAAATAAATGAAGAAACTATTTACATAATGGTATTAGTCACATCACTGGTCATACTTGTGGGTAATTCTGTGTCAGAATAATTTCCCTTCAGTTGATACAGTTCATATTCAACTCTCATTTAGAGGACCAGTTTCAGGTACTGAAATGGGGAGATCCTCTTTTCCACATTACAAAACAGTTCATGCTGGAAACATAAGAAATTGACCCATGGATGTGTTATTAGTAATTTAGATAGCTCTGATATCGTTAACCTTTTATATTTTACATGTAATCATTTCTCAGGCTCCTGGAATGTAACTGTAGTGGATTAAGGGGACTCTACATTTTGAGTGGGTTGCTGGGTAGCACAGGATTCCGAAGTATTCTCAAAACACAGCTACGGTTCTCTCCAACATGAGGCAGGGGAGGACGTTCAGATGGAAAGGAAATTAGCAGTTCCTGTGTGCTCACTGAGTCTTTGCTGGAGGCCTTAAGGGAAGCAGCATCTTAAAAAAATAAATCTAATGCCACTAGGTCCAAGACCTAGAAAACCCTGGGAGACTGGGGCCTCTAAGGTTGCATGTTTGATAGCTGTGTGAGGGTATTCTTTTAAGTACCGGCTTATTCTATCTGGGATAATTTCATATCTGCTTCTGTTCTCCACCTCTCTATTTCTTTCTCTGTTTGCTCAGTCTATTTATACATTAGTGAGTGTTATGTGTAGTCTCTAGATCTTAGCCTCATGTAACCTATGGCAGTGAAACTATTCCCTCAAATGCTTACTTTGCTGCTCTATGAAAAAAAATATTTTTTCTTGCTTACTCTAGTTTACTTTATAATCAGTCACTTCACCCTCCAAAACTGCCTGGGCTTGACAAACTTGATTAAAAAGGAAAACTGGGAACTATTTATTTAAAAACATTGTCCTGGGAAGGGGAATCTCCTGCTCTACCCCATCCATATTCCAGGAGAAGGGAGAAGGGAGGCATCTCATTCAAGAACAGGTGGTGCCAACTACCTGCCAGGAAGAACCTCTTTCACCTGGATGAACAGCCACACCTGGACACCCCAGAACTCAGGCAGAGAAGATCCCAGGGAGGACTCTACGAGGTGGGGGGCAGGGAGCTAATGACATACCTTCCTCATCTTCCTCACTGCTACCATCTTAAATTATAAGAACGACATGGAAATTATTTAAAAAATAGAAGATTATTGTAACTATTATCCCACTTTTCTATATAGAATGCCCTCAAGGTAGCTAACAAACAATTAAAAACTGATACTGAAAAAACACTTTCAACCAGTTCAGCTGAAAAAGGCTTGACTAAAGGGCTTGAATTCTTTCCTAGAAATAGAACGAGCGATTGATTTGACTTAATGCTTGGAGAAAAATACAAGTAGTGGCAATGATCTGCTTATGCATGTGTGTTCTGCTACAGCAGGAAAAAGCAATGATTTTTACTATAAATCCCACAGTCTACAGCCATGATCCCTTTTGCCTGGGGCTGTCTAAAATATTTGGAGGATACCAGAATGCCTAAACCTCTATGCTGAAAGTTGCACAAGCAAAAGAAATAGCAGGAAAAGCACAAAAGATATTTAGGGTAATAAAGTCATAATGAACTATGAAGGTGCTTGTGGTTACACATCCCTGCTTGTGCAAGCAGAACTAAAGGACTGAATCTGACATTTTTGTAAATGGGGTTTCTACAAGTTACAGAAATTTTGGACTATTTGAATTACAACGAAATCTCAATTCAACAGACTCCATTTAGTGGAATTTGGATGCAATGACCATTTCTATTGAGACATTCCCTGAAACAGTGGACATTTTTTTGGCATTTAAAGTCATTCTGATAATAAAGAACTTGTTCATAAGTACATAGCCAAACTCAGAAATTCACTTCTCTAAGATGATGATACCAACTTAAGTCTAAAAGAAGATTATTATTATTATTATTAAATTTATATCATGTCTTTCCTCCACGAAGTGAAATACATAATCCTCCAATTTTAGTCCACAACAAGTCTGTGAGGTAGACTGAGTTGTGAGAAAAAGACTAGCTGAAAGTCACCCCAATGTGTTTCCATGGCTGAAGGAAGATTTGACTCTTGGTTAGACAGTTACTGCTCTAACCCTGTTTTTCTTATGTTCTTTATGTTATAGTAATACATCTAGATGAAGTGAAAGAAGTATAACAACTATACAGCCAAGTTCATACCTGTACAATTGGATGAACTGTGACTTTATGTGGTTCTTGCTGTACAGGTTCCTGCACCAAGCTGGATGCCACAAAGCTGAATCCTCTGAAGAGATGATGAGCATTGGCACTTGGAGGGACACCTGGGGAATCTGAAGAGCAGGGGAGAGGTGACCCAAGGAACAGGGCATCTGGAGATTCCAAACCATTTCTTCATTCAGTGAATCCCAGCACTATGCTCCCTAGCCAATATTATAAAGAAGCAATTTCCACACTACAACCACGCGTGCTATTTTCAACATGGTGGCATGCATACTTCTCCATTTGAAAGGTCTTCCCAATCTTTGCTTGAACATAAAGCTGCAAGAGAATTTCCTGAGTGGCAGCTCTGAATATACTGAGATAGTGAGATCAGCTGTCAAAAAGGAGAATTAAGAGGAACCCAGTGACTCTCTGCCAATAATAGCCTTTAAACTTTTTAGATACCAGAAGAACACAAACTGCCCATACTTTTCTTTTTTTACCATGAAAACTGCACAACTGCTTGTACAAGCCTTTGCACGTAATGTTTAGCCAGTCTCAGAATTTGTGGCAGTGCAGAATTTAAACGTAAAAGCGTTTGCAGTAGTGCATACAGTGAAAGAATTAATGGGAAGCAATTGTGTAGTAATACAGAACCTCAAAGAGCCTGGACAGTCCTTCCAGATGGATCACTCCAAATGCTAGCAAGAAACATTAGGAAGAAATTGTGGGAAGACATGGGCAGATGGCAAGTGGAAGATTAAGCCATGCCATAAAATTCCAACAGCGAGTCTATGTGATTACATGGTAGCAGATTCTTCTGGAAGCAACGGCAAATTTGAAAATATAGCAGTGACTCCTCAGAGTCATCCAGCCATAAAAATCACTTACAAAGGATTAATAATGCATTGTTTATACCCATCCTATCTAATCAGGCAGAAGGAACATGCTTCCCAACTGCCAAGGAATGTCAGCTGGCAAAGTCTAGGAGGAGAGCCTTTTCTCCTGTGGCATCCGTCCTCTGGAATATCATCCCTTCAGAGATCAGATTGGCTTTGTCCCGTTGGCTTCTAGAAGGCCTTGGAGATGTGGTTCTGTGCTTAAGCCTGGGTCCCTGGATGTATGAAGGTGTCTGTCTCCTGGTTATGTTGATTGCTGTTTATGATTTATAATTCTCAGCTATGGTGGGTCTTATGTTTTTAAATGTTTTTATTTTAAAGTTGTAAGCCACCCAGAGTTGAAATTGACCCACCCATTTGAGATGGGCGGCTATAAGAATCTAATAAATAAATAAATAAATAAATAAATAAATAAGAAAAAGAGATAGAGAGGAAGGTAAAGTTAAAAGCTAGAAATGAAAAAGAAAATTGAAAATACAAATTATAAAGAAAAGAAAAAGAAAAAGTGAGATAAAGTAAAAGAAAAAGAAAAAGAAAAAAGAAATGAAAAATAGATAACTCCCAATCTATCTCTGGTCTTAGGAATAATAAGAGTATCATAAGTAAAAAGAGATAGAGAGGAAGGTAAAGTTAAAAGCTAGAAATGAAAAAGAAAATTGAAAATACAAATTATAAAGAAAAGAAAAAGAAAAAGTGAGATAAAGTAAAAGAAAAAGAAAAAGAAAAAAGAAATGAAAAATAGATAACTCCCAATCTATCTCTGGTCTTAGGAATAATAAGAGTATCATAAGTGCTAGTTTTTAATGCATTAAGTAGGAATAATTCTTTGTCAAAACATACCCATTACATTTATAATCTAATCTTCAAATCAATAATAAGAGTATCATAAGTGCTAGTTTTTAATGCATTAAGTAGGAATAATTCTTTGTCAAAACATACCCATTACATTTATAATCTAATCTTCAAATCCCCATGTAAGCTTTACCCCACCTGCATTTTGCAAATAGTAGAGGAAGGTAATTCTTAAACTCTACCTAGATATATTTTGGCTAGGTTTGGCTGACATTTTTTAAAAATCAGATCCTTCAGGAATATTGGCATTTAAATGAAAAAAAAAAAAGGCAAATCTACTGATGCATTTCCTTGGTGAGTACCTGTTGGGGTCCGTGATGTGAATTCAGGATCAAAATGAAAAGTGTCCTCTGGCCGCCCCACTGCAGGTTTAAATGGTGGCTTGATTTCTTTCCTGTATAGTTTCTACACAAGAGCAAAGCAAAACAGAAGTTAATCCTCTTGCCTTGAGGGACCTTTGAGTAAGAAAATAGGCTGTAAGCCTAATCCTTAATAAGCAATCATTATTAAAATAATACTTTTTAATGCAGAAAGCCGAATAAAGGAACAGCAAATCAAGAAAGATGTTTTATATGCTTGCTGCATTCTGGCTTTGTGAAATGCATGTCATGTTTAATACAGGGGGAGGGACGTTTTATACTTAGCAGCATCACACAAGAGAAAGTACGAGGCTGCAATACTTTTCCCACTTACACTGAGTTTCCATGACAATCAACTAGGCTTGTTTTCCTGGTGGAAATATAGAACTGTGCTTTTAAGAAGTTTTAACTATATCTGCATGTATGAAATTACTTGAAAAACAATATCCTGATTTTTATTGGTATAGTTCATTCATTGAGCCACCCAAAGTCACCTTCCAGGGGAGATGGACGGCATACAAATTCAATCAATCGATAGATAGATAGATAGATAGATAGATAGATAGATAGATAGATAGATAGATAGATAGATAGTCAGGGGAAAGGGGAGCATTTTCACACACGCAAAACGTGCTCACCATATTTTGTCTTTAGTGAAATTTTCATCAGCCTCAATTAAAATGATAATGCAGATGTTGGCCCATACACAGTATCAACCATTGTAATAAAATGATACATTCATTTATCAACTGCCATAAATATGGGCAAATACATATCGGTTTGATCTCTGGTTTTTAAATATATAAGCCCACTGCTCAGACTTATCGATCCCAGTTCAAGAGATCAGCCCATTGTGTTATATTCACCACCTTGAACTGAACACTTATTGAATACATAAACAAACATAGGGATTATAATATGGTATTTATAAAGCACTTTACACACTGATATGTGTAATACAAATTATAAATTTTAGTAATTGAGAGAACCATTTGGCGTGGAAGATGAAGGATAACGTTTGGAAGTGATATTTGAATATCTGGGAATCAAGCATTTATTAATTTGCCTTTGTCTCACAGATCCTCTGTTTCACATCTTAAACCGGACTATATACTATCAGGGTTTTGAACTGTATCAAGTCCTCCCTGAAGAAGTTCATTCATGTGTGGGTATCTATGGAAAGGATACATCAGATACACATGTAAGGGTAAAGATACATCACCTCCCATTCAGGTGATGAAATCAACTTTAAGAAAAAGGTTTCTAAAGTGTGTTAAAATAATGATAATGAAACATTCATTTAAAACTATTCAAAACAATTTTCTAAGTGGGGGAAGAAGAAATAGCATCCTTCCTCCCTAAGATTTTCATCACAACTGTTTTATTAGCTTTGACAAATAGATTTGGATGCCATTTGAAATGCTGCCTTCATGAACTGTCAGTTACATATTTCTTTACGAAGTCTATTTCTTGTTCTAAGTGGCCAACATCTTTGCTCAGGAGTCCACTGCAAGCTTGAGGAGCTATAAGCACTTGCTCTGCTGTGATCTGAATGAGCACACTACAGAAGAAAATAAGGAAATCCCTAAGAATCACATACTGAGCAATATCCTTCCTCATGAATCAAAGAACACCTGATATAACTCAACTTTAGCTTTAAAAATAGGTAGAACTTGAGAGACAGTCATATCAACAACCTCAGCATGCACCTGGTAAGCATCCTCAACCAGGAAATTCATTTTAATTAAATCCAAGAGTATGTAGTCATTTCCTGCCCTGAATGCCCCCGGTAGAAATGATTAAGAATAGCAAGGTTGCACCTGCCGGTCCTATATAGTATGTATTGGGTAGGAAGGATGCATTGATCAGGACTTGTTTACAAAGAACTCAAGGCATATATCCCAGTGAAAACAGATCCGATGCCTGCAATCTCTGCCTTCCATTTTTGCAGGCTATTATGGAGAGGCAGTTCCTCTGCACACATCCTAAGCCGTGTATGGAAACTGAAGCAGGGGCAGCAAACCCCTATGCTCTTTTCTCCCAGGTATTCATTCCCATCCTGTTTAAATGTGTGCATTCTGCTAATGACATTTATGAAGACTGAGCTGATCTTCAGGTGCCTTCCAGAAATAGAAAGATAGTGACTCATAGCAATAAAAAATGTTCCTTAATATAGTAATAAAGGAATGATTTTCATGAACAATGCACTTGTCACAAATACAGACGCCCACCCCCCTCCTCACATATATACTCCAATAAGCAGGCGCAAGGATTAATTCCCTTCTAAAATGTTATCTTTGGACTTTTTTCATCATCAACATTATTCTGTCAATAGATGCCAAATAAAGGCATGATTTTTGATCTGATAGCCAGGTTTCCCTCTCTATCTTAATAAGCATAAATTATTTCTGCCATTAATTTAGGATCATATTTCTGATGAATATATTTCTTGGCCAGCAAAGCTGGGCAAAACCTCCGTTCTTCCCTAAAACCTTTGTACCAGGTGTAGCAAAAGCAGGTGTCTTTAAGGATAAAATATTAGGGTTGTGCAGTGCTTCAAATTCTGTCTCCAAAAGGTGCTTTGAACCATACACATCACATCATCTGTGCCATTTCTGCTGCCTTGCAATCCCAGGAAAAAATACAGCTGCTTTAAAGTGCTGCACAGTCCTTCGTTTGCACCCTGAAGCACCTTTGGGAGACTGAATCTGAACTGCAGCACAGCCTTGTGAAATAGAATAATTTACTTCCCGTGCTGGAGCCTGGGTTCCTAAGAAAAGAGGAAAGATAAGGGCTGTAGTGAAAGTGCTGTGGATGGACTACGCGGTCTGTGGGTCAATATCTATCATCTCTGCAGACTCCACCACAACCCCCCCTTTCTTACTTGTTTGCTCCATTTACTTTGTTCCTTCTGTATCTTCCATATCTTATGCTCATGGAGTTTTGAGCTGGATTACATTACTACTCTAAGTAGTGCCACAGTAGTATTCCTTCAGCTGCTACCTGGTTTTCTGAGTTACTTGAATGCTGGAAGTATGACAGGAATGCCCTTGACTTGTCTCCTTTGTGTCTGCCTGGTGTGTGTGGGTCTCTGCCAGCACACCCTAATTGATGAACTCTAGTGGAATTTCTGAGGATGCTGTGAACAGATCAGTTTTATGCGTTAAAAATAGTGCACCCAAGACTGATCATGCATTAAACACAGCACCCGTTTCACAAGTAGTGTGGCGATATATCACTGGTTCTGGTATAATAAGAATCCGAGATTACTCTATTAAACACTGTCAAAACATTACAGGTTTCATTATAAGTAACAGTTCATGTTTTGCTGTTTAAACACAAACTGTCTAATTAATTGGCAGTCTTACACTCTATAGCTAATTCTCAGCAATAATAATGAGAATTGCACAGGATTATTTTAATTTTCAATGTTTCTGACAAGTTCCTTAGAATGGTAGAAATGCTATAGCAATGATGAGGACATTTAAAAAGGTACTGCTTTTCTTATAACTATTTCATGAAAATCTGTTTAATATTTTAGGACATATCCAACAGTGATTGTAAGGGAGGTTTTCTTCTTAATCAAAAATATTGTTATTCCTACCTTGACTCTTTAGGACTGGTGCATATCAAATTCTGTGAGGGATTCACAAAAGCATACAAAGCCTCTGGTTGAGGCATAAAAACTAAGGTCACAGCTGACCTTTTCCATAACAATAGTGACCAGGATAAACCAAGCACTTTTACTGGCTCCATTCCTCTTTGTTAATCCTTTTCTTATCAATGAAGAAGAGCTGTCTTTTTTAGCAGCTGGAAGCCTCATTATAAGACAGACAGAACTAGCCTCAGAACTAAGGCTGGTTCATGTTCTGAAAATTATAAAGTCAAGTGATTATCTGCTATTTAAAAGCATTATTAAAACTACATTGAAACCCTTCTCTCCAAAACTTTAAAGTGGTATTGCCAAAATATAGATAGAAAGAAAAGCTTATGCTGTAAATGCAATCAGGCTGAAATATTCATATAAGGACATTATTCATCATCAATCTGGATGGATTCCAGAGAAACTTATTTTTGAATTATATGTTGAATTATGTGAAAATAAGCCCCTCTGATTTCATGGAGGTTTTTTTCCCTTTTAGGATCAATGTATGATCATCTCTCTCTCTCTCTTAACAGAAGACTAGGAAATCAACGTATTTCTATTTAATTAAATCAAGTGCACAAACTGCGATTTGGGGTCACATAGGACCTCCCCAAATCCTTGGATACAATCTTTACAGACTTCTAAAGTAATTACCAAATTAGAACAATTAATGTGAAAGAAGGGGAAAATTATTAAATATCTGACTGCCTAACAGTCATATTACCATACTCAGTATCAATTAAGTTTACAAGGCTGTGCATCTCTGAATGCACAGCTCATATTTTTTTAGGTGCCAACCTTGGCCACAGACAATATTGACTATATCTTCATTTCTAATTAAACGATGATATATTGTCTTTGTTCTGTGTTATATGACAGCCTAGTTTTCAATCGAATTTCACAAATATCCACAAACATAAATGTGATTATTAATTGCAAAGAGGTTTGTGATGCTGGTTTACTTTCTATTATGTTTCTATCAGGAAATGTGAAGGTTCAATTAGAAGGCAGTTAGACTGAACCGCTGAGTCATTCTGATGTGTTGAACTGAATGCCTTCACATCAATTAAGTGACGAGATGAACTTTTACACAAGCATGTACAGACTTTTAATCAGATCAATACTTTGAACAGACTCAGCAATTCAGATTGCATGCTATTCATACATCCTTAATTCTGATGTCTCTGCCCTAAGTATTACAGATTCTAGGCTGTTGTACAGAATTTTTCTCCAAACAGGAAATATAATGAAGCAAGTCAGAGCAAACACTGGCACTGATAAGTTTTATTGGAGGGGGTGAGGGGGCATTTAAGTCTTTAGTGTAACTTCAAAAGATTTTTCCAAGCAATCAGTTCAGATCCCTGCAAGAACCCCTTTTCTGTACTTCAGTAGCCTCTTGCTTAGAGAAAGGGAAGTGGCACAAAGAGAAAGAGAAAAAAGGGGCATGGCCACTTTTAGATCCAGCCCTGCCACTGCTGGTTATTAAATCTCACAAGATTATACCATGCAAGGAAATGCAGTCCTTATGTTTTTTTTAAGTTGTTGTTGTTGTTGTTGTTGTTGTTATTCTCCTCTCCAGGTATTCACACTTTGCAATCTCATACCACTCACTTTATATCCCTCATGTATTTCATGGCAGAGCAGTACCCCAGTACAATGTCTACTTCTGGATAAGGTATCCCTGAGATAGGCAGCCTTTATGGACCAGGAGCCTATCTGACATTTTGAAATCATGTGGAGGATATTCATAAAACCGCTTCCAAAGTTTGGGGAGGTGTACAAACAAAACTGTCTCTGTGTCTTCCTACATCTTCTTATGACTTCTTCCTTCCATGCAAAACTATTAGGGAGAGAAAGACAGAACAGATGTCCAGTGTCTTCAAATGGCTAGCGCTGCTGACATCCTTCCAGCCATAAGGAGCCGTACCCTTTATAAAACTCACAGTATAAAAGCAATAGCAGCCTCTGGTAACCAATGAAAAATCCTTAGCAGGCATCACTAGATAGTGACAGAAGCAGGGTGGCAGGATATTGCCTACGACTATCAGGCCTGGCTTGGGTACTGCTGCCCTGCCCTTTCATTAGCTCCATAGCTGACCCAGACTACAATAAGGTTTTTTCTAAGATTTCGCCATTAAATGATGCTTGTTTACAAAGCCTTGTGTCCTCATCCTCCTTGGCCACCATTTAGCAGCAGAAGCCCTCTTTATATTCTTCACCATATCACCAAAGTGCTCTAGTGGGGCCCCTGAGTGCTCTCCAGATGGATAGGATTTCAATCTATCTGAATGTTCCTGCAGGCTGGAGATTTAGAGTCTGACATACCTAGAGGATGTTGAGTTATATCTAGAAAAGGCTTTTGCTGCTATTAAATTGCTTAGGGCATTTGGAATGGCCAAAAATTGTTTAGAATACTAGCGTTGGGTTGCCCTTTGCTAGGAGAATGTTTAAATTGGCTGCATGATTAATTAATCACACCATGCAATAAATCACTTGAGTAAATTACTTACATTCCAGTCAACGGTAGCAAAAAAGGGATGACGTTTAATCTCTTCAACTCCATCAAGGCCAGCACCTGCCAAGGTAATGAAAAGGAGACACATAAGGTGTCAAACCACAAGGTTGTTTTTGAGTGTTTCTTTTATAACTCCCCATCAAGAGAAGTGGAATTGTAAACAACAGAGGAGAAGTTTTGGGAATATTGTTGAATTATTGTTAATTGTTGTATTGAATTATTATTGTTGTTAATTTCCTTTGAGTAGTAAAGCAGAATATTATAATCACTGAATTACTGACAAAAATACAACATATAAACCAAGAGTGGGACTAGTTCGATTGAGAGCCCAGTTCAAATCCCCATATCAAGTTACAAAGTTCAGTAGATACTCTTTGAGTTTAGGCCATCTCATAGCTCATTCTGCATTTAAAAGGATAAAGTGGACTGGGACTGGGGCACCAATGTACAAAGCCTTGCCCTTCTCAAAGTACAGAAAACACATTTGCTTAATACATAGACAAATATGTATCTAATCCTCACCTTAATATTCAAGCTATTAAAATATTTAACAGAACGTTTAATTCCAGGCTGCCTCCAAATTCCAAATTAAAATGGCTCCATAATTTTAAAATGTTTAAGTGTGGCATTAACAGAATTGCATCTGTGCTGTGATTGCTTGTTTTGTAGTTTATAGAAAACTGAAGAAATTTCCTCCAGTACAGGCTCACACAGCTCCAGATGTACATTAGAACTCCCATAATTCTCAGCCAACACTGGACATTTCTGCCTTTTCTGAGTAGAACAGAAGATGAAGAACTTCAATTTCTTCCATTCTATTTGTGCCTCTCTTCTTTTCAATCTGTTTAGTTTCTTTGATTCAGCATTTTTAAGAACATCAACAGGTGCTCAAAAATCATTAAACAACTTGGATTTGACTGAGCCATATATTTAATAGTGGCATCTGTTATCCTACTGGAAAAGAGCACTTAGAAGTAGGAGTGACTATGCAGCAGTTTGGAGGCTGAGCCTGTGAACTGAGCATTTTGTTCAAGCAATTTCCTTTTTCTTCAGTGGTATTTAAAAAGTACTGCAATCAAAGAAGTTGTCTGGAAGCGTATTATGTCCTTCACAATACTGCCCCTTTCCTTTTGAACATTTGTACTTTCTGGGGAAGAAGTTGCTTGGTTAAAAGCCTATCAATAAATGGCTGTATAGAATATGATAACTACTAGACAAGTGATGTTCTCTACATTTGTTTGACTGGTGCTCAGAAATGGCTCCCCTGTAGTCTTGCCTCATCATTTGCTAGTGAGAGATCACTGAACACACAGATCCTACTGGTTGCATCTTGACTGTGGCTATCTGTCTCTTGCACAAAGAGGAAGGCTTAAAAGTTGTGAGAGACCTGATATTTTTGTTCTTGGCCTTTGAATCATTACACATTCTGAACAAAAAACAACAAGCATAAAAATTCCATGTGCACTCAAATCTTTCAGCTAGACCACACTTTTAGATTTGCTTGGCCTCAATTCTCATAATCTCCAGCAAGCTTGGCCATAAAAATGACTAATTGGCATGCAACATTATATGACCCATGCCTGATACGATGGCATTATTTTTCTTACTATCACAAAGATTAAAAGAATCAAGTTTACTTAAGGAACATAAATTTCTGGCATCTGATGACCAAGTACCACGATTAACTCCTGGACAGAACATTGGTTCAGGTCAGGGTCTAAGGTCACATTACACATAAAACTAAAAACAGAATGGAGATGTGCAATTTTTTAAAAAATCAATCACCGTAATCTAAGAACAATTTCCCACAAATAACTACCATTCAGGGGTATTGAACTACAATTCTACTGTAATAATCCCCAGTCAGATATGATGGTGAGAGATGATGGGTGTTATAATTAAATGGATCCCAGAGGACATCAGGATAGGAAAGATTGCCTTAAAACAATGAAACACATAAATCAGGTTACATTTCTCTTAAGAATCATAAAACAAGGCTTGCCTCATGGAGTTGTTACAGATGTGAATTGTATTGAGCATTTACTTTAAATGATGGCAATATACAGCTGCACTGCAAAATAATTAAATAAGAGGGAAACTATATATTTTGGCTTGATGATGTCATGATGATGTCGATAATGTTCTTGATGAAATTTCTTGATGATGTAATGAACACACCAGCTATCTAGAACTAGCTTTAAGCTAATTCAGAACTAAAATCTAGTCAGAACCTTTTATGGAAAGGTTATTAGTTAACATTTTACATATGAACCCAAAAAGTATACAGTGCCTATTAAAACAAAATAGTTGTTTGAAGAATCTGTAATCACACCAGAGGGCAGAAATATTGGATGGAAGAAGTACAAGTATTTTCTGTTGAATAAGTTGTCTGTGTAATACATAAAAGTGAATATTTGGTCAACCTCAACACTACCCTTTATTTTATCATTGCTAATTTATTTCTGTGCCAGATTATGCTCAGAATTAAACTTTGTAACTATGTAAAGTTATAATGGCCCAAATTAGACATGGCACTTTTCATATGACTAGCAATTGTGTAAATGGTTTTAAAGTAATTATCAAGAACTGGGGTGATGCTACAGAAGCATAGAGGAGCTTCAGTCTTTTGCCCTCTAATGCTTGCCTGAACCCTATTCCAAGTTTGTACCTGTTATCTGCATCAGGAAAGGAACTCTCTTTAGAACAAGCCTAACAAGACAGCTCTCGTGTGCCCCACAATAAGTTCTTTGGATAGCAACAGATTCCCTGTCCCTCCTGATTTTATAATAAGTGGGAAGCTGGCATACTGCAAACCAAAGCACTAGCATCCGTTTTCATACTTATTTTCAAGGATACCTCTGGGCTTCAGATGGTTTCTACAAGCTTTCTTAGAATATAATAATAAGGAAAAGACACAGTCTAATACTTACTTTGGAAGTGGGCTGCTCACCCAGAAAACGGGCAAAGATAGTTGAGAACAACTTGCAGGGAAGTGAGGGGGAGTACTAGAGAGAATGGCAAGCAGCATTCGGCTAAACCTTTTTTTAAGACTATGCTCCCTATGGCAACCTTTTGCGAATGGAGAACAACCCCGACAGTTATTTTGCAAGATCACCCCCGATATGTTTGCTCATTTCCAAATGCCCCTGTAGCCCCAAAAGGTTGGGGACCCCTGTCCAAGGTCACCCATCTGAATTCATAGTAGACAAGAGAGAATGAGTCATTTCTTGAATCACAGTTTTCAATCTTGTCAACAATGTAATTGGATCATAAATTCCAATAAAATATTATTCATATATATCTCTGTTTGAAGTATTTCACCAGTACCCTTAGGGAAAAATACCAAAATAATGCCTTTAAAAGAAAAGGTGACATAGGCCATAGCTAGCAAGACAATATTCAAGAGAGCTGGGGGAATTATCTCATTTGGATTGAAGCAATTAGGCAAATGATGGGCTAATTGCTCATAGACCTTTTTACTTCTAAGTCTTTTTCAATTTTGGTTTCAGGAAGCGTGTGTTTCCCTTAATTTCCCACAGCAGCTGAGAGACATGCAGTTTATAAATAATGTCAGAAATGCAAAATAATGTATTTAAAACACAGGGTTATTCTTTCTTCTCTTTTGTACTGCTATTTCTAGCAAAAACTTTCAGAATTAAGCAGCAGCAGAGGGAAAGAAAATCCAAGGCAGTTTTTTCTCCTCTTCAGTGCATCATTACATGCAAGATGTATAGCTCAGCCAGATGGTTATGAAATGAGCTGCCAAGAATCCTGTTAACAATTCCTTGTCCAAATACTAGCACAGGGAGCAGCAGAATGTTCCTGTCTTGTAGGTTATCATCTCACTTCCTCCAGGGGTTGAGTAAGGATGTACTGTAAGTCATGGTGGACCCACTCATTCACTTTGTTTGAATTCTTGTTATTTTGAATTTATACAAAAAGCCAGTAATACAGCTTTGACCCAGAAGGAAATGTTTCCAGTTCTTTGCACTTAGTCTACTGTGTTCAGGGGCTATTTCAGTGGAAAGATGGGGCGGGGGGAACACCCTCCTCAGCAAGATGTTTGTTTTCCTATTTCCTATTTCCATTTCAAATTTATGAAATGGAAATTGTGAACAATACAATTAATAGTATTGTTATTACAAACATCCAAAATGTGGCACATAACTTGTCCATCCATAAATCCACTTCTGTATCTCTCCTCCAGATAGCTTTTGGGTCAACCATTATCTGATATCTAGTTCTTTAAAAGAAATATAAGGAGATGCCCAAATTTCATTCACTTCTTATTCAGTGAAAAATAATCTGTTCAGAAACTTCTTAGAAGACGGTAATAACAAACCCCTTTTAATGCTAAGAAAATTGCTCACAGTTGTTTGTGGAGTGATCCAGAAATCTAAGTAAACAAATAAATAACATAAAGATTGCATGGGCATATCCATGAAACCACCAGGAGTTGAACGTGACTCAAAGAAGACAATACCTTTGCTTTATGATAAAACCACCGGAATTGTTTAGCTTAATTATTCTTACTATTCTGTGAGAAAATGGCCAGTAATGATCAGGAAAAGTTTGAAAAAAAAGTTGTGCTCTTATCTAATGTCACAACTGGGAACACATTTCATGGGGAGCAGAATATTAGGCGATGAGAATTCCACTGCCTCTGGGCATATATTTGGTAGGCAACAAAGTACCACTTGTAGTTAAGAATCCCTACCCAATTCGTGCCAAAATCAAGCTTCATTTATTCTATTGCAAACACCAGAACTAAAAGAAAAACATCTTGCTGAACATATTACATTTTTTTTCCCACAATGGGAAAAATGTGAGAACACAAATATAACTCAGTTCTGCTCCTCTTTGTCTCTAGCATCTGGTTCTGACAGGTATTCTCTGTCAGTGGATGACACGTTTAGCTGTTGTGCTTCCATTCATGTGTATCATCCTTTCCAACAGGCCGAAATACGTCATTAATTAAAGTGAAATTACCTTGTAGCTCTCCATCGTACGCTGTTCAGCTGCATCATGTATATGAGACTAAATGATAATTAACTGAAGAGAAAAACAACTGGGGAGATTTGCCACTGTGTTAGGCAGTGATAAAATAAATTCAGATACCTAATCTGTTAGATGGATTCCTCTTGAAAAGAGCTCGCAGTAAACTCTGAGCTTCTACGCTCAAAAACTGTGGCATTCCTAGCTTGGCTCTGAAAAAACAGGACATTTTAATGCAGGAATAAAAAGCATTTTTTTTAATCTACCCATGTATATAAATGATTAAACACATGCACCAAAATATACAGAACTCTCAAAGGAACTTTTAAGCTTTCTATAGACTGAGTTTATTAAACATTTTAATTTAAAACTCTCTGCAACTTATTTAGAGAATTTGCCATTCCTTCTTATTGTGGCTGTATATATCAAGTCATAATTATTTCTATTTGAGAGAGTTAGCCATGAACAGTTCTGTCAATCTTGTTTTTTGTGGAACTTCTCTTCTGATTCCAAGTTCTTTCAGCCATGCTGTTTAGAATTTGGCAAAATAACAACAAAAAAACCCCTACACAATTCACAGGCATTTTTGTGCATGCTTCTTTTAACATACATTCTTTGTATGCAGTTCTTCTATGGTACATATTTTATATTTCCTTTTGAACACTCAATCAATAAGCTTTGCTATGTACATTAACCTATTCAAAAAGAAAAAAAAACCCACTGTTCTGAGACAGCAACCACAGTTGTAACAAAATTGATTAAAAAATCAATATCAGAGTGCAACGTATTTTACAAATAGTAAACCAAAGCCATATTCAAAGAAATAAAATTACATTGGCCAGACAATAATAACTGTAAATAAAATGAATCTGGGTGGCCTGAAAATCTGACTAGGTGGGGGGCATTAGCTAAAATTGGGCATCTTTATCATAAGAGCAATAGAACAAAATATGGCTTAATATTTCAATAGTTCCATCAACATAGGCGGGAAAGTATTTATTTGAATGGAATATTCTGAAATGTCCCCTCAAGGGCAACTATTGGAAGACATATCTTGCTAGAGTTAGGGCTTTTTTGAATTTGGTAAGTTGGCTATTGGTTGAAATAAGTTGCCAGCTTAAAAGAGGGAAAACAACTACCCAGAAACACATTTTTAGATGAAGCAGGCAGATCTAGTTGGCTTTCCAGGTCTATGGCACCCTGGGTAAGGGCTGCCACTGCACAATCACGTCTCATGAATACAACTGCATCAGGGTAGGAGAATCCCTAGCATTTCCATTTTTCACACAATGTCCTACCCAAGAGTGAAACAAAGTCATCAATTAAATTGGTGAGGTCAAGTCCTCAAGTAGGAAAAAGTCCTCAAGCTTTAGTCAATATGAGAGGACATACGGATTACTCCCAAGAAGATGCATCAACTCAGAGCCCTAGGCAAATCCTGATGCTACTCTCTTGGAACACGGCTGGGTAGAGAGCTAAGCTAAAAGATATTGCATTTATGGATTATATTTCTACCTTCAATATACTCTTACACCAGAAAACTTGGGAAGCCCATGTCTTTCATAGTGGTTTAAAACATTCTTGCTTGCTGCAGTGCCCACAGCAGGATATGGTAAATTGTGTGGGGGTGTAAGCTGACATATATCAGGGCTTTTAAATTAGACTCCTTGGAATGATATGTACAGGCAGTTGCAATTAAATTCACCAATGTGATCTTGTTATTGATTAATGTTTACATCCTACCCTTTTGTCTACACTTGCAGGTCAATGACATATTTTCTGAGGTAGAGGATTATTCAAATACTGTAACTTTTTGTCATTATATCCTTCTGCTGAAGTAATCACTGCTGGCAACTAAGCTGGATTTATTTATACTGAATAGGTCTGTAAGTAGCTATTAGCCTGTTGATAGGTATGAGGCCCTCCTTTATTGATTATACAATAATATCTAGAAGTTTGCACCTGTTTCTGTTAGAATCTTATATTGACAGTTGTCCCGATAGTGATAATTTTCCTAATATAGTTACTAAGAACTTTTGAAGACTCCTTTTCAGAACTTAATTCTACAATTAATGAAGACGTAGATAGAGGGCCAGTTCATACAAAGTGGACTGTGCAGCAGAAAGAGTTACCAAAATACGTCTCAGGCAATTTCCCAATTCTGATTTGCCATACTCAAAGGGGGGTAGTGAAAAGGCTTTTCTGTCAATTTTCTCCTTAGCAATAAGTGCAAAAGTGTAAATACTAGGGGTCATCCCTCACCTTTCACTCAACCTTGGTTTGATCTGGAGTGCCAGGAGGAATTAGTCAATTGTTTTAAAAAATATAAAAATGATCCCTCTCATATGTTCACCAAGATTTGTTTTCTCTGAAAAAGCAATATAAGCAATTATTTCAGGCCAAGAAGAAATGATCTCATTACTGCTGAAGGCCATTTTTTTGGCCTCCCTATTCACATGTATAGATGGTAAGGCACTGATTCTAAACAAATGGAAACCAGGATTGCCTGCTAATTATTGGTCTATTAGCCGTCTTAGCAAAATAAGCAAATTCTATGCTAGCCCTTTATATAATAAACTTTTTGAGTGGGTCAAATCAGGAAACATTCTGGCTTCAGAGCAAGCAGGCTTCAGAGCTGGGTGCTCAGTTTTAGACCATGCTCTTAATTCTGCAGCATCTGGTCAAAAATATATTACTAAGTCACAATCTTACATAACCTTTATTGATTTGAGATTTGTGTTTGACCTTATTTCCAGATATAAATTATGGTGTAAATAGGTATGTGCTTCTATTCATACTTAACATTTACAACAGTTCTAGTTTAAAAGTTAGGTGCAGAATGCAGAGCCATTACAGCAAGGAAATGACCATTGGTGGAGAAGTTAGGCAGGAATGTATCTTGGTGCCAATCAGTTTAATTTCTACATCTAGTGCCCAAGATAAATATTGAAGCTTACCATCCTCCAGAATTGAAGAACAGACATATTCCAATCCTATTTCCTTCCCCTCTTTTGTTTTCCTTATCTTTTTGTATTCCTTACCTGTAATATATTTTGCTTATTATTTCTTAGCTTATTTCTGTATTTTGCAAATGCTGCTTACTTTGAAAGGGAACAGTGTAATTGGATATGAATGCCTATTTTTTACAAGCAGTGTTTCCATAAGATGCATTTTTGTGTGTACTTTTCTTTATTAAACATGTTTGTGCATATTTTCTGTAATGCCCACATTTTTATAAATACTTTTCTGAGTTAGAAACTGTATTGCAAAATTATGAACAATGAAGATATTGATGTGTGTGTGGGGGGGGGAGAGAGAGAGACCCTTTTATAGTTAAATGTAGGACTGAAGGGCACGGTAACCAGTCTTCACTGCATGCTTGGGAATGAGGAAAGAGAGAGAATAGGAACAGATTAACTTTGTTTAATGAGGTGTGTGCTTAAGTAACTGCATTGGAAAGGGAGTGGGGGTGGGGGTGGGGGTGGAAGAAGCTGGAATTGATTTTGGAACTGGTTGTTTCCCAACTTAGGTTACACTTCTATATGCATGCATATTCCTGTCTGTCTGTCTATCTATCTATCTATTTTTCAGGTGCAAATTTAACAACTGTTAATCCAACAATTCTGCTAGATCACATTTCTCATCTATTCTTGGCAAGGGCAAGACTTCACACAGCTAGCCAATGAGCTCCTCACTAAAGTTTTGAACATCCAACTCATAATGCAATACATTGTGCCTTAGATTTAGGCAGCAATGCTAAGCTACCTCGTAGGGCAGTGGAAAGTCTACTGAGCATTGGGGACATCCCAGAATATCTCCATAATTTAAATAGGATCCCATCTTGCAAGTTGGAATTAAAGGTGGATTTGACTTTTGATAAACTGCTGGAGTTTTCAGCTCCTTAATTAAGGATGGTCCCTCTGCTACTAGTCACATGTATTTTAGATACATTTGAAATGTCATTTCTCAAATTTTCTACAATGCAATCTATTTAATCCAAAAAGTTTATTCTGAGTAAAAGAACATAAGCTACAGGTAGATATACAAATTGGGAGTTTGCTACTCACTTCAGAATGAGTGCCATTGTTTCCTTTCTGTCTTTCCCCTGGAACGGCAGCGACCCTGTCAACATTTCAAACTGAAAAGAGAGAAGAAAATAGAAATTCTAAGAAGCATGAAACAGTGTAAATATAAAAAGGGCATATAGTCTGCAATATTTATTCTAACAACGTAGAATGTTCATTCATTCTCCTTACAAATTCATATATGTTCCACCCCATATGTGGAACATATATGAACATAAGGAAGAATCTCTTGACCTCCCAGTTGTGGGCCACTATTTAAAAGAGCATAATAGATTCACTGGACTTTTGGTGTGAATAGTAAGGCTTTTCTTATGATGATCTAAAAGCATTCAATGAACCCCCAGTCTTGTGCTGTGTCATACAGTAAAAATATCGTCTGCACTAGTCCCATGGAAGTGTACAGAAATGTACCTGAAAAGGCATTGTGCTAAAGTCCTGTGGATCTCATGACTGTCAGACAGCCAGCTACAAAAGATTTCCTCAGTAATGCACCAAGTAAAATTTAACACATCAAATGTAGAAAACAATAAAAAGTAAAGAACTTTTAATCCATCCACTTCATTAAATGTCTAAAAGAATGATGGAGAGGGAAAGAAATAAAGAAGCATTAAGTAAGCTATTTGGTTTCCATAAATTAAACATGATATGGAGAATTCTGCTGCTAGGAATAAGAATAGCCAAATGTTTTAACTGAATTTAAAGAATTCAGGAGGAAACATAAGAATATCAGCAGCTATTCAGCAGAATGCTGATGTCTGTCTTCCTGCTTAACTTCAGGATTCATACTGTAAATGAGGTTGGGCAACTTTTTGATGGCTAGGAGCAGAATTGGGGCAATATTGACACTATAGGGAGCACTTATGTAAGATGAATGAGAAATGCCACACAAATGGGCAGGACCAGAGTATTCTGTGGAGTTTCTTTTCTTTTTAGTGGATTTTGGATGGAATTAAAATGCTATGCCTGCTTTAGTATGCAATGGTTTCGGTTTGTTTCCTTCCTAACAATGGAATGAAAACTAGCATTGATTTTCAATAATTGCATGTGGTCCTGAAGCTTCAGACATCCATTCTTGCTATAATTTTTTGCACAAAAAGGGAGTGATAAAGTAGGATTCTATTCAAATAAGCATCCCAAGTGGAGCATTGTCTGCAACAGAATTTTGTGAGGAGGATGTTGCCTCTTTGACTCAGTACAGATTTTTTAATATCCATGTATTCGCCATTTTTTTTTCAAATACAGCCACCACTTTCTTTGCCCCATATTATTGCTCAGACTAATTTTAAAAATGATGTAAAAAAGCAAGACTGCCATTCCTACTATTGGTGACATGGAAATGTTTCTCTTTCACAGAAAATATATCTCCTTCAAAGCCATAAAGAACGTCATGTACCCCAAACAGTAAAAGTAATCAGAATCAGTAGAACAATGGTTCCCAGTTGGTGCCACCAGGTATGTTGAACTACAACTTCCATCAGCCCCAGTAGCACTGCGAACTGCCTGTTTGGAATGAAGGTACTTGTTCAGCAAACTAATGTACACCAGGTTGGGGAACACTGTTCCTGAAAAAGTCTGTTTGTCTTTTCTTTTTTGCCTTAAGACCACTCACCCATCTTTCAGTCATTTTGTTTTCCATATATCAGTTTAAGCATATCAATGGAGTGCTAACATCTGCTCTACTTTGATTAAAACAAATTATAATTAGATACTAAATCTAATTTAAATAGCTCAGAGTACATCTTTCAGTTCCATTTCGGTAAATGAAGGCAATAAAAGAGAAAGTACAATCCCCAAGGAACAGTAATTCTAGATTTGCATTGATCGATAATTAAAAAAAAAAAAGCAGAGCCAAACCCAAAATGATGGCAAGAAGAACCACATTAATTCTAAAAGCACTCTCATTTTTTCTGATTGAACTCAAAATGTCATTTACATGATACCGCAAGTGGCCTGAATCCACTGTTGCAGCTGGTTATGCTTCAAAGTAATGGGCCCATTCAGACATAGTGGGAAACCTTTATTTTCAATGAAATGAAGGAACTTCACAGGCTTAGCACTCATATCTCTTTTTTTCATAGCAGACATGAGGAGGATAAAAGCTTCTGCTTTCACTTAGTACTTAATTGCAGTACTCTGCCACATTCACACTAAAATGAGTGGAACTTGAATTCCTCTCCAGCCTTTCAAGAAAGGAGCCCTCACATTTTGAAGAAAAGAGCAACCAGAGGGGAAAATAAATTTTCCAGTGCTTGTTAATATTTTGAATGTATGAAAATCCTTACAAAGGGAGGGCAGAAAGATAACATGGAAAACCTCAAGATTATTTTGGGGAACCTTCTTCAAAGGATATGCAGTTCTACTACTTTCCACAAAATTGTAAGATTTGCCAACAAAATCACCTAATGACATAAGCCAATTGCTGGGAAATCTGGGGAGGAGAGGAGGGGGAGAAATAATCATTTCTGAAGCAGAATGGTGAAGATGTTATTTCTTTCAACATGCAAGATCTACTTCCCCATACATGGTAATAGCAATTACCTGAGGAACATTTGCTAAAATAGTTCTAGCTACTCTTGCATAATATTATGATGAATAGTTTTTAAAGTCCCTCTTACACTGTACATTGATTAAAGCCATATATGAAGAAAAACATCATGAAAGAGAATATGAAATCCAAATGTGGCCTAATTTTATGGTATAAAAACACAAGCCTATATATCAATAACAGATTTTCTAAATGCAACCCTTATGTAGACCAAATAGCATCTACACATGAAAAATAAATATTATCAGCAGGATTCCCAAAGTTTGCTGAAGTATGAAATATGGAAGGGGGGGGGAGATGATAAAGGGGAGGGGGGGAGCCCCTTAAACAACTCAACAAAATCTAACCATGCTCACTAGCTATAAAAATCTGAATGTCATTGGCAGAATAATGTGAAACACACATGTACAACCAAATACCGTACACTATAATATTCTATTGCAAGTCTATTGGGAATC